TGTTTTGCTCCGGTCTTGTTGCTCTCTGGGTGCCTCCTTATCTCTGTAGCTTGGCGCATTTGCCCTCCCAAGGCCGAGCTGTCTGGAGTAGAATTATTTAGGAGTCTCTTTTATCCCACAGTTATCCCAATTATTTGCTGAGAACCAAGACCACTTTTGTTTCACTTAATTATTTTGTCTAATGACTAAGTGACAACTTGTGCCCATGTCCTTCCACTGCATTCCTTAACGAGAAAACAGGGATTAGTGTAACAGTTACATCGTTAGATCACTACGCATGCAGAAATACAAGTTACAGTACTAAAGACTACAAAAACCTAGAAAATATTAAGGCTTTTTTGTTATAGTTTCATGTTTCTTACAATCCCCTCTATCAATAGTTAGCAATCACAAGGGAATATGGGGCATGTGAACAGCGCATGATTTATGTCTGTAGCCTATCCGAATAAGCGTGATCACGTGTACAGATATGAAAAATGTATATAACCACGCAAGTGGAGCGATAAAGTGAACTGACTGTGCATTGGATCAATGTGTGAGAGTGGTTCCTGTCCCTGCACAGATGCTGAAACTTGACAATGGGAGGTCACTTGCTGCATCCGGAGCTCTCAACTGATATATCTGGTGCAGCCCGCGCACACGATCTGCACATTGCAGATGTCGATCTTTATGAAGTTGTTGGGTGCCAGATGTTGAAGCCAGGTCCAGTCCCATCACGGCTGTGCTCTGTTAGGTTTCATCAAAGTCCATCCTTCATTAGTCTGGGTGATTCTTTCTGTGATACTACTGATATAACAGATAACAACTACAGTAGTGATAGCAGACAGTGACAGGGTGATTTAGCAGTTAACATTACACAATTTCATTTATTGACTATTCTCACCCAAGATCAAATCCCCATGAGGTAGGACTAATCCAGACTCTCTTCCCTAACATATTACACATGTGCACTATGGGGACTTTATCCCCTTCTACAGGGTATGGAAGATTTGGACCAGCCCAGTTGGTGGATCCTCTGGTGTTAATCAACCAGGTGGCCTTTGCTAAATGAGTATCCCAGTTTTTGAAAGTCCCACCCCCCCTTGCTCTCAGAGTTGTTTTTAGCACCCCATCTTACCGTTTGATTTTTCCAGAGGCTGGTGCATGGTAGGGGATGTGATACACCCACTCAATACCATGTTCTTTGGCCCAGGCGTCTATGAGACTGTTACAAAAAGAAGTCCCGTTGTCCCACTCACTGCTTTTGAGGGTGCCATGTCACCATAGAACTTGATTTTCCAGGCCCAGAATGGTATTGCGGGCAGTGGCATGGGGCACAGGGTAGGTTTCCAGCCATCCGGTGGTGGCCTCCACCATTGTGAGCACATAACGCTTGCCTTGGTGGGTTTGTGGCAATGTGATGTAGTCAATTTGCCAAGCCTCCCCATATTTATATTTTAGCCATCGTCCTCCATACCACTGAGGCTTTACTCGCTTGGTTTGCTTAATTGCAGCGCATAAATCCCATTCATGGATAACCTGTGTGATGGTATCCACCCCTTGGTCACAAGCCCACCTGTATATCCTGTCTCTTTCTTGATGCCCCGAGGTGTCATGGGCCCACTGAGCTATAAACAGTTCACCCTGATGTTGCCAGCCACTTCAATCTTGACAGCCTGATCCACCCGGTGGTTATTTTGCCCCCACGCTGGGTGCCAGATAGACTGTCACAGTTTGGCCCTGGCCGACAACAAGGGACCACACAGTTGTTCTATCATTTTTAATAGAACAGCAAATGAAACAAATGTCAGCAAATACTGACAAGATGAACATACAAAACAAACAGCAGAATGCACAGAGCGACTCTTTCCACCCAGTGCAACTGGTGCTGTTTAATGTTTTCATCAATGACTTTGACAGCGAGACTGAGTGCACCCTCAGCAAGTTTGCAGACAAGACCAAGCTAAATGGTGCTGTTGACACACCAGAAGATTGGGATGCCATGCAGAGGGACCTGGACAAGCTCGAGAAATGGACCAGTGTGAACCTCATGAGGTTCAACAAAGAAAAGTGCAAGGTCCTGCATCTGGGTCGCAGCAATTCCTGCTATCAGTACAGGTAGGGGGATGCGGGGGTTGAGAGCAGTGCTGTCGAGAAGGACTTGCAGGTACTGGTGGATGAAAAGCTTGACATGAGCCAACAATGTGCCCTCGCAGCCCAGAAAACCAACCGTATCTCCCTCAGTGCCGGAACCGCATCAAGAGAAGTGTGGCCAGCAGGGCGAGGGTGGTGACTCTGCCCCTCTACTCTGCTCTGGTGAGACCCCACCTGGAGTCCTGCATCCAACTCTGGAGCCCTCAGCACGAGAAGGACATGGACCTGTTGGAGTGGGTCCAGGGGATGTCACAACAATGATCAGAGGACTGGAGCACCTCTCCTGTGAGGAAAGGCTGAGAGAGTTGAAGCTGTTCATCCTGGAGAAGAGCAGGCTGCAGGGAGACCTTCTAGCAGCCTTTCAGTACCCGAAGGGGGCCTATAGGAAAGATGGGGAAAATATTTTCACCAGGGCTTCTTGTGATAGAACAAGGAGCAATGGATGTAAAGTAAGAGAGGGTAGATTTAGACTGGATGTAAGGAAGAAATTTTTTATGGTAAGGGTGGTGAAATACTGGAGCAGATTACTCATAGTGGTAGTGGATGCCACATCCCTGGAAACATTGAAGGCCAGGTTGGATGGGGCTCTGAGCAACCTGGTCTACTTGAAGAAATCCCTGTCCACTACAGGGGCGTTCGGCTAGATGACATCTAAAGGTCCCTTCCACCCCAAAGCACTCTATGATTCTATGACTCTATGCCCAGAGCGTTCCCAAGCCATGATTAACTTCCCTCCTGGGCCGGCTCCCCTACACAGAACCAAGCTTGACGTCACACAATATCGAATAACCTGTTCTGTTTGGCCAGTTTAGGACAATTTGTCCAGCTGTGTCCCCCTTGGCTTCTTGTGAAAATTAACCCTATCCTGGCCAAACCCAGGTCACCTCTTTTGCTGTTTCTAAGACGGTCGCATTGGGAATTCTTATTTTTTTCAGCAAGTCCATTAAATTAGTGCTTCCTTTTATCATTCGTGAGCCTCTCCATCAGGCCCAGGGCTGGGGCCAGCCATGGCATGAGGAGATGGAAGACAGTGTTCCCTCTGTCCCCTGTCCTTTTCTCCAAGAGATTCGTAGTGCTGGCTCCTGACCCAAGGACTCCCCAGGATGCTACTGCTGCCCGAGCTAGAAAGCATCCTACTCTGAGCTGGAGTGAGCAGAAATAGCTTTCTTTTGGTCATTTATTCCCCAGTACGGGGCGGAGCAGAGAGTTGCTCCTTTGCACCTCTCTAAGGAAGTCCCTGACCCTAGAGAGCCTTTCCCCAAGAGAGTATGTTGGTACTGGCCTTAGTGGCCACTTCTCACCCTTCCCTGTGCTCCGCACAAGGCCCCGAATTGGTAGTGCTGCTCTGCAGAGTGAGAAGACTGTGCTTCTGTAAAGCAATAGAAAGGCAATCCCACACAGATCCCTGTGGATCAGCCAATATCTCAGCTGGGACCTGGGCACCCATATGTGAAGGCTGAGTCCAGGCCCATTCCCTAAGACATTCCCTAAGCCCTAAAGACCTGAGCCCGTAGAGAACCCAAGCAAAGCAACATGCTCGCAGGGGCAATTTCTCCACCCTGCTCTTGACCACAGAATTCGAAGAAGAGGCCAACCTCCAGACACGAACAGTGAGAAAACACGTTTTATGAAAGAGATGTGACATGGGAGGCCACCCGTACCGTTGTGCCACAGATGTGTTTAGTGATTTGCAGGTCGTACAGGCTATGTTCGTACCTCTGGGGTGGTGTAGTGGATGTAGAAAAATGTCCAAAGCAAAAGAGATTCCCAAGATGTTTTGGAAACCACTGAACACACAGGGCAGGTTAAGGCTGCTGAGAGACAGTTGGAAGAATCAGCTTCTTCAGTGCTTCTTTGAGAACCTGATTCCTCATGCTGTAGATGAGGGGGTTCACTGCTGGAGGTAGAACCGAGTACGGAACTGCCATCGTCAGATCCAGGGTTGGGGAAGAAATGGAGGAGGGCTTCAGATAGGCAACCATGACAGTGCTGACAAACAGGGAGACCACGGCCATGTGAGGGAGGCACATGGAAAAGGCTTTGTGCCGCCCCTGCTCAGACGGCATCCTCAGCACTGCCCTGAAGATCTGCACATAGGACACCACAATGAAAAGAAAACACCCCACAACTAGACAGGTGCTAGCAGCAATAACCCACGCTTCCCTAAGGTAGGAGTGTGAGCAGGCAAGTTTGAGCATCTGTGGGATTTCACAGAAGAACTGGTCCACAGCATTACCTCTGCAGAGCGGTAGTGAAAATGTATTGGCAGTGTGCAGCACAGCATAAAGAAATGCACAGCCCCAGGCAGCTGCTGCCATGTGGACACAAGCTCTGCTGCCCAGGAGGGTCCCATAGTGCAGGGGTTTGCAGATGGCAATGTAGCGGTCATAGGACATGATGGTGAGAAGAGAATACTCACCAGAGACAAAGAAGGTAAACAAAAAGACCTGTGATACACACCCTGAGTGAGAGATAGCCCTTCTGTCCCACAGGGAATTGGCCATGGATTTTGGGACAGTGGTGGAGATGGAGCCCACATCAAGGAGGGAGAGGTTGAGGAGGAAGAAGTACATGGGGGTGTGGAGGCGGGGGGCGCAGGGCGGGCGGTGGTGACGATAAGGCCTTTGCCCACGAGGACAGCCAGGTAGATGACCAGGAAGAGCCAGAAGTGCAAGAGCTGCAGCTCCCGTGTGTCTGCAAATGCCAGGAGGACAAAATGGGTGATGGAGCTGCTGTTGGTCATTTGCTTCCTCTGGGCATTTGACCTGTCCAAGGAGAAAAAGGCAGTGATAAGCTAAGGTAGAAATTTCAAAGAAAATCTGTTCCAGTTCTCATGGAACCATCCCAAATTGCCTCTCCCTTTTCTGAAAGACCTTTGGCTGGTCCCTGCTTTGAACTCTGGTGGGTGCTGGCTAAGGATGCCCCAAGTACCAGCGGGCTGTGCTGTGTGTTGTGCAGGAGCCAGTTTTGCCCTACAGCAATAGATACTTAGAAACTGGGAGTGATGTTAAATAAAATCCACTTGTGGTATAAAAGAGCTTTTAAGCATTGTCACTCCTAGTTCACTGAGCTGCAGAGCACAGCTGTGGAGGTTTTTTTTATTTATTTGGTTGTAGTAGGCCCACAACAGTGAGTGTTATTATTAAGACAGAAATCCTTGACATTTCTGATTGTGTTTGAGAGAAACCCTATGGTTCTTCTGAGGCACAGGGACTATCCCTTCTTGTAGAGTGAGGACAGCCAGTCTGTCCATCAGCCCTGGTCTCACCTGCCGTAGGCTGTCACCTCTTTCAGCTGGAGTGAGATTGCACCTAGAGGTTCACTTGAAAAGAAGCTGGATAATGGTGAGATCAGGTGAATCCAGTCTCCAAGGGCACATCTCCAAACTCCTCATACTATCTCATCCTACCCGAGGAGGATCTCAGCTCTCCTGTCCGTGCCAGGGACAAAGAGGGCTCATTACAGCTGCTTGCACACAGCCTTCCAGCAGCATTTCCATGGCCTCAGTAATGACGGGCTGCGAGGTAACATGAAGATGCAATGGGAGAGCTGTGCCCTTCTGGAAGACAGCCTGCAGACAGCAGGCCCCCCCAGGGCTATAAGGGAATGTCCTAAAGATCCTGTGTCTTGAATGGAGAGTTGCCTCCCTCAGCCCTGCAAACAGCATTGCCCAGAGCTCCCACCTTAGCTGGGAAGCAAGGCAGCATGCATAGGAGGGGAAAAATGGAGAAGGTGCCCAATCTTCCTGTTAGTGGAGGCAGCACAGGGAGAAACAGATGAGTACTCAGGAGTTTTCCCTCATTAAGGGTCTGACAAAGACCAAAGACGAGACGTAATTCCTGCTGTGATTCAGTGGAGATGAAGAAGAGAAAGAAAAAACCTGTGCAGCCCATTCCAGACAGGAGATTCTGCTGGTGTCCCAGAGTGGGGTGGCCATAGATTTGGGCAGAGAGGTGGAGATGGAGCCCACATCAAGGACGGAAAGGATGAGGAAGAGGAAGTGCGTGACGGTGTGGAGGTGGTAGTCGCAGGCTACGACAGTGACGAGGAGGTGGTTGCCCAGGAAGGCAGCCAGGTAGATGTTCAGGAAGAGCCAGAAGTGCAAGGGTTTCAGCTTCTGTGTGTCTGTGAGTGCCAGGAGGAGGAACGTAGAGGTGCAGGTGCCCTTAGACACCTATTGCCTGTGGGCATGGGGAACTGTCCAAGTAGAAAAAGACTGTGACAAATTGGGGGAGACTTCTCTGAGAACAGTGTGAGCCATTTCTCATACACCCTCCCCCTACATCACACACCTCTCTCTCCTTTTCTAGACCTTCTTCAAATCAAAGACTGCAACCCTGGCTGCCGTTCCTTAAATGTAGCATGACGAGCAGGACCTCTGCCTACGGGCTGTGGAAGAGTCAGTCCTGCTCTGCAGCAGTGTGTTCAGGGACCTGGTGTTCAACTTTGTCAGACGAAACCGCTCCTAATGCAGAAGGGCTTGTCAGTATCTGCACTCCTGGTGCTAAGGCACCAGCATGGCAGAAGGCAGTTTGGGAGGCCTGGGGTTTTTACAGCTCCTCCCACCTCAGCTAGGGAATGTTTTTGAATGTCAGAAACCTTCAGCATTTCTGCCGCACTCGGGGAGAACAGAGTGAGTCAGGAGAGGCAAGAGGATGGCCCAAGGCTTAGTGCAGAATGAGGGGAGCTGGTCTGTCCCTCTCTCTGGCTCCCAGTTGTCCTGGGCTTGCACCTTTCTGAGATGGGGGATGATCATTCTCTGATGTTGCTCTGAAAAGCCAGCAGAAACTTCTGAGGGCAGAGGAATCCACTGCAGACCATAAAGGTCTCACCCTTTCTCAAGATCTCAGCATCCCACTTCCAGCCAATGAAACACACGTGGCTGCTCTCAGCAACCCAACAGCATTACCTCAGCTGTAGAGTCTTTGCGTTCTTCTTAGGGCTTGAAGATAAAAGAGAGGTGTTATGAGATAGGATTGCACCCTTTAGGGGAACTCAAAGCTTGGAAGGAAACCGCAGGGGGATAGCCATGTGTCCTAATGATGGCATCTCAGTAACAGTCAGCTCATTCCCCAGCCCCACAGACAGTATTGACCAAATCTCCACAGGAGTGAGCAAAGCTGGGACACTTGTTCCTATGGACACATCTGCATGAAAGAATCCAGACGGTCAGTGTGTGACTCTGAAGCTGAAACTCCCATCTCCAGAGAGCCTGACAGCAAGAATAAAATAACAAGAACAAGAAAACAGACAAGTGCAGAAACAAGGAAAATACAGTGAGGGTCTGGCAAGGGCAGAGGCAGCCAAGCCCTCAGCTCTGTGCTACTCTTACCCAGCTGTGCACGCCACCTCCCAGACCCCAACACTGCAGGGCAGCTGCTCTCAACCCCTGTGGTCTGCAGAGGGACTGGGCTCGTGGCTGGAGAGCTGCAGCACTGCTCTGCTGGAGCTCTGGCTGCAGAGGAGGTCGTTGATGCCTTGGACCCCACGGCCCTGGGGGCAGAGGCTTTGCCGGGTGGGAGAGGAGGCGAGGAGGCTTGCTCAGAGGAAGGGGTCTGCATTGCAGGGGATCATACTGAGTTCCTTCAGTTCTCCTTCCCACAACATTTCTTTTTCCACTTTCCTCTCATTCCCAGATCACATCCCTGCTGCCTGGAGATTCTCACTCTGGGAGATGTTTCCCTGTGCCGTGTGTTTTCTCTGTAACATTCACAAACCCCACACCAGCTCTGCTGAAACCTGCCTGTTTGCCGGGTGCTGGCTGTGTGCCTGTTGCTGTTTGCAGGTGGAAAAGGGCAGGCCAGACCAGCAAAGGTGATGCTGGCGCTGTTCATAGAAAGAGGAGTGGCTGAAGGCATTTTAGAAGACTTCTATCAGACTTTGTGATACTTCAGATTTACAGCTCAGGAGTCTCAATGACTTGATGAGCATGAGAGCTCCTGTTCAATTTATCTCCCCCCCTCCACTCCTCTCCTGCACTCTTCCCCGTGTCATCTACCAAGAGCAGCAAACTGGAAAGGCAGACTCTGGAAAACTCCTTAACTTATAGTGATTCCTGTCTTCACCTTCCCCTTGAAAAGTCCCCTCAGAAATATGCCAGGATGTGAGCAGCCCTGATCTACACAGCACTCCATTAGCAGCAGAAGGATGCTGCCATGCCAGGGGTCACTCCTTCCACGCACACCTTTTCGCTTCACCACTGTGGGAGCTCCTCAGGCAGGCTGAGTGCTGACCCTGGCAGGCGGCAGATTCCCTTCCCTGGCACACAGCCCCTGGGGTGCAGGGACCCTGCTCTGAACGACAGCCCTGGGCAGCTCTGGCTTCACTCTCAATTTCACACCCTACAGCTCTCTCCATGTGAAGGGTGCCATCATGCCCTGTCCCTCTGATGGTGCGGCATGGAATCCCTCCTCCGGAGCATGTCCTTCTGTTCTACACTATGGAAACTGTGAAACTCCTCCTGAGCAATGCTACAGACTGTGAGATGTAAAGATTTTTTGGGGTGTCTCCAGGACACTCATCTGCATTGCCCTGCTTCCAGAGACTTACTGTGTAGCAGACTGTGAAGATTTCTCTCACCACGAGTTCTCAGCTGTTCTCAAACTCCCAATTGCCTTGAACTTCTCTCTGCCTCCCTCCTCTCCCGTCGGTGCCTGCAGGCAGTGCCCTCAACCCTGCTGCACTTTGCAGAGGAGCTGCTCCTGGGCAGAGCTGTCTCTGCAGTGCTGCCTGGTTGCCATGAGCTCTCTTCATCCCAGGAGCCCAGCCCAGCTCAGCAGCAGAAGACCAGCCCAAGGCATCACCTTCTCTGCCCCCTCTGGGCTCCCTCCATGTGGGAGGGACGAACAGGCTGAAGGAATTACTAATGTTCTTTCCCTCAGCCAGGGAGAGATTCTTATTTCCAGCAGTGGCATTTGTCCTATCAGAAAAGTAGTTGGGCATGAGTATCACCCTGTATTTTCCAATCATTTAGAGAGGACACCAGGAAGGTGACACAGAAGGATGTACTTTCTCCAAGTAGCGGGATGTCTTCAGTTGAGTGCATTTAGGCATTTCATTTGGGGTTTGTAGTCCTAGAGGGTAGAAAGATATTCAGCTCTCTTTTGTCCTTGCCATGTCTTTGCTCTGAAGCAAAGGCTTTGCACACACAGTCTTGGACACTTGGTACCACATTTCCCTGTAGCAAGTCTAATCTTGCCTGGCGCCATTGCTGAGATGTTTCAGCCCTAATGTGCAGCAAAACCCTCAGCCAAAACCACAGGCAGGAGGCAGAGCTTTGACACTTGTCATGTAAACTGCCAATGCATGGTGGCAGAGCTCATTACAGCTGGTGTTCAGGGACAGAATCCTCCTAGCACAGCAAGAGTCCAGATTGAAACTCATTTTAAACCTGAAA